TCCATTCTTTATGACTGCCACATGCACACAGTTATTGAATAGGTTCTTGTCAGTATATACAATAGTGTAACCGTACACAGTACTACAAGCTACATATTTAACATCCATTCTTTATGACTGCCACATGCACACAGTTGTTGAATAGGTTCTTGTCAGTATATACAATAGTGTAACCGTACACAGTACTACAAGCTACATATTTAACATCCATTCTTTATGACTGCCACATGCACACAGTTGTTGAGTAGGTTCTTGTCAGTATATACAATAGTGTAACCGTACACAGTACTACAAGCTACATATTTAACATCCATTCTTTATGACTGCCACATGCACACAGTTATTGAATAGGTTCTTGTCAGTATATACAATAGTGTAACCGTACACAGTACTACAAGCTACATATTTAACATCCATTCTTTATGACTGCCACATGCACACAGTTATTGAATAGGTTCTTGTCAGTATATACAATAGTGTAACCGTACACAGTACTAGCTACATATTTAACATCCATTCTTTATGACTGCCACATGCACACAGTTATTGAATAGGTTCTTGTCAGTATATACAATAGTGTAACCGTACACAGTACTAGCTACATATTTAACATCCATTCTTTATGACTGCCACATGCACACAGTTATTGAATAGGTTCTTGTCAGTATATACAATAGTGTAACCGTACACAGTACTACAAGCTACATATTTAACATCCATTCTTTATGACTGCCACATGCACACAGTTATTGAATAGGTTCTTGTCAGTATATACAATAGTGTAACCGTAACAGTAGGTTCTTGTCAGTATATACAATAGTGTAACCGTACACAGTACTACAAGCTACATATTTAACATCCATTCTTTATGACTGCCACATGCACACAGTTATTGAATAGGTTCTTGTCAGTATATACAATAGTGTAACCGTACACAGTACTACAAGCTACATATTTAACATCCATTCTTTATGACTGCCACATGCACACAGTTGTTGAATAGGTTCTTGTCAGTATATACAATAGTGTAACCGTACACAGTACTACAAGCTACATATTTAACATCCATTCTTTATGACTGCCACATGCACACAGTTATTGAATAGGTTCTTGTCAGTATATACAATAGTGTAACCGTACACAGTACTAGCTACATATTTAACATCCATTCTTTATGACTGCCACATGCACACAGTTATTGAATAGGTTCTTGTCAGTATATACAATAGTGTAACCGTACACAGTACTACAAGCTACATATTTAACATCCATTCTTTATGACTGCCACATGCACACAGTTATTGAATAGGTTCTTGTCAGTATATACAATAGTGTAACCGTACACAGTACTACAAGCTACATATTTAACATCCATTCTTTATGACTGCCACATGCACACAGTTGTTGAGTAGGTTCTTGTCAGTATATACAATAGTGTAACCGTACACAGTACTACAAGCTACATATTTAACATCCATTCTTTATGACTGCCACATGCACACAGTTATTGAATAGGTTCTTGTCAGTATATACAATAGTGTAACCGTACACAGTACTACAAGCTACATATTTAACATCCATTCTTTATGACTGCCACATGCACACAGTTATTGAATAGGTTCTTGTCAGTATATACAATAGTGTAACCGTACACAGTACTACAAGCTACATATTTAACATCCATTCTTTATGACTGCCACATGCACACAGTTATTGAATAGGTTCTTGTCAGTATATACAATAGTGTAACCGTACACACAGTACTAGCTACATATTTAACATCCATTCTTTATGACTGCCACATGCACACAGTTATTGAATAGGTTCTTGTCAGTATATACAATAGTGTAACCGTACACAGTACTACAAGCTACATATTTAACATCCATTCTTTATGACTGCCACATGCACACAGTTGTTGAGTAGGTTCTTGTCAGTATATACAATAGTGTAACCGTACACAGTACTACAAGCTACATATTTAACATCCATTCTTTATGACTGCCACATGCACACAGTTATTGAATAGGTTCTTGTCAGTATATACAATAGTGTAACCGTACACAGTACTACAAGCTACATATTTAACATCCATTCTTTATGACTGCCACATGCACACAGTTGTTGAGTAGGTTCTTGTCAGTATATACAATAGTGTAACCGTACACAGTACTACAAGCTACATATTTAACATCCATTCTTTATGACTGCCACATGCACACAGTTATTGAATAGGTTCTTGTCAGTATATACAATAGTGTAACCGTACACAGTACTAGCTACATATTTAACATCCATTCTTTATGACTGCCACATGCACACAGTTATTGAATAGGTTCTTGTCAGTATGTACAATAGTGTAACCGTACACAGTACTACAAGCTACATATTTAACATCCATTCTTTATGACTGCCACATGCACACAGTTGTTGAGTAGGTTCTTGTCAGTATATACAATAGTGTAACCGTACACAGTACTACAAGCTACATATTTAACATCCATTCTTTATGTCTGCCACATGCACACAGCTATTGGATAGGTTCTTGTCAGTATATACAATAGTGTAACCGTACACAGTAGTAGCTACATCATGCTTGATGTTTCAGCAAGGTGTATGTTCCTTCTGTGACCTGCATCACTTTGGAATGTCTTCTCACTTTGAGATCTCAAGCTCACGTTGACTGACAGGATTGTTCTCAGTCAGTTCGGAGAGTAGGTCGACATACAATAACGTTATGTTGCGTGAAGTTTACCTGTAGTTCATCTGCCTTGGTGTACGAGACTCTTACTCAGTGTCTTGAGGCTGGATCACTGCTTTGTAAAGGACATGACATGAATGATGGACTGATACACACCACACCGTGGCTTGCACGGATGAATGGACTGATACATACCACATCGTGACTTACACGTCTGTTCGGAGAGTAGGTCGACATACAATAACGTTATGTTGCGTGAAGTTGCATGTTTACCTGTAGTTCATCTGCCTTGGTGTACAAGACTCTTACTCAGTGTCTTGAGGCTGGATCACTGCTTTGTAAAGGACATGACATGGATGATGGACTGATACACACCACACCGTGGCTTGCACGAAGATATGGACTGATATCCACCAAACCGTGGCTTGCACGAAGGAATGGACTGATACACACCAAACCGTGGCTTGTGCGGATGGATGGACTGATACAGACCACACCGTGGCTTGCACAGGTTTAGGGCAGATACAGACCAAACCGTGGGTTGCACAGATGAATGGACAGATACACACCACACTGTGGCTTGCGCGGATGGATGGACAGATACACACCACACTGTGGCTTGCGCGGATGGATGGACAGATACACACCACACCGTGGCTTGCACAGATGAATGGACTGATACACACCACACCGTGGCTTGCACAGATGAATGGACTGATACACACCACACCGTGGCTTGCACAGATGAATGGACAGATACACACCACACTGTGGCTTGCACAGATGAATGGACAGATACACACCACACTGTGGCTTGCGCGGATGGATGGACTGATATATGACATTTTGACGCCATGCACTGGACTGATACGCTCCACGTGGCTTTAAGACTTCTACACACCACATCGTGATTTCAGCAGACTTAAGTATTGAGATTAATATGAAAGGTGTTTCTCTGCAATGGTATCCCTACGTGTAGTTTTAAGTGTTAGTAATCGTTAATCTTAAATGCCACATATGTGTAATATTAAATCAATACATGTGCTTACTTTCAAGATATTCAGAAACTGAATATTCAGTAATTACCGACGTTTAGTTCTATGTGTTGTGATTAAGTCGGAATGCCACCGAAGGCGATAATAGGTCACCTGTTGGGAGGCACTCCGTGATCTCACATAAACATCCCACTCACGATTCAGTTTGTTCAGTGAAGGAAAACAGTTAGTCACATAATGTAGCCTACATAAACTGATTGGCCATCTTGATAGTGTTCCTTCTAAAGAGCTCACGTGTGTACTGGCGCGTCTAAATATAGCAGTTATGAAATCTACTACTGAAGTACAAAAGAAAGTACATATCTGGTGTTTGGGGATTTTTTCCCAGAAACAACGTGAATATTTTGAAGTGTTTTGATTGTGACTTACAAGTAACAAACATTGTATACATTTTGCCAATACAAAACAAATATCCTTTGCAGTGATGAGCGTGGAAGATCATGAAAATTATGATTTTGTTAAATTTTAATTTAAATTTTGGTCTTAAGTAACCCATGCTTGTCGTAAGAGGAGACTAACGGGATCGGGTGGTCAGACTCGCTGACTTGGTTGACACATGTCATCGTATCCAACTTGTGTAGATCGATGCGCATGCTGTTGATAACTGGATTGTCTGGTCCAGACTCGATTATTTACAGACCGCCGCCATATAGCTGGAACACTGCTGAGTGCGGCGTAAAACTAACCTCACTCACTCCCGAGCTACATGACCTTGAGTGACCATCAGTAAGACAGTCTGCTGCAGCTGTTTTCAGCTCTGCCTTTTCAAGTTAGTCATGTTTATATCGTATGAAAGACCACAGTGCCATATACCACGGACTACCATAACACGGTTTCAAAGATACAACATCACGCTTACAGTTAATTTTATAACTCAAACAAGTCATGTACAAGTTTGGTAAGTACTTGTTTCGTAGATTCCAAATATGTGACAAATAAACACACAATATGGATAATTCACCAATGGGCATTTCATTAAGGATTTCTCAATAGAAGAAATTCTTTTTCTGATAGATTTGACATTTTACTGACCAACTTCTGTAGCGTATAATTGGCAAATACTATTTTGTTCCAAGAATTACGTGTACTGACTGTAAGGATGTTCATGCAATGTTCGTGTTTAGCTAATCATATCCTAGAATGTTTTGAAAGGTCGACAGCAATGTTCATGCTTTAAGAATGATGTCCAAGAATTTTGTGTAAGGACAACATGATAGAGTAAAGAAACACAACACAAGCCTTAATGATAAATCAATGTGTATGATGTTTTTTATAACAAGGATGTAACGGAAATATACAGGTCTTATTGCTTGAACACAGAGATTGTACAATCAGTATATACACAAGCGGTTTAGTAGCCGACATTAGTATCGCTGAATCTATCTAGAATGACTTGGGTTGTTACACATGCAAGATTACGTTCTCCTGTGGCAATGGTTCAAGTGACAACACTGACGTCACTTGTTGAAGCGGATTATCAAATAAATCGTTGGTGCAACAATTCGAAATACATCAGCATGAATACTCCATACTGAATATACCTTGATACATACAGGTGACATAGGCCGGTTCTACATTCTTACATTCACAGCTCACTATATTGCGACCAATAATGTTATGAAGTATATGCACTCGCTCCTGTCCATGTTACTCTCTGTCTGCCCCCGTGACAACCATGCTTTAGTCGTAGTAGAGATGTTACCAATACTCGTAGTCTGTGGCATAGAATTCTAGTAACCTTGACCGAACTCTGAAACATAGTAGAAGTTATGAAGACAATTACAGCGAGCATGCTAACTGCAGACATCTGTCTTTAAGAACATTGCTCAGAGTCTTACCTGACATCCATTGACTTGGACTTGGTGGGACGGAACTCTCCCTCGAAGCTGATGACGCGCTCAAGTTCATCTCTCTTCTCAGTCGCAGCCTGAGTCTCTTCTGTCTCCGACTCCACTACACGGAACCTGTATCCCTTCACATAGTGCTCCTCTATATGCTCTGCGTTGTACTGAAACAGCCATCACAACATCGGCTGACTTAGGTAATAGTATGTGCTATTGTGTGACTGAATGAAAGATAGTCACATTGTAGACCAATTGATGTAATGACAGGTTGGAAGAAAAAGAATCAACACTGCTTCAGTCAACTCACCACGCTATGGTTCATGCTCGTACTGATACAGACACTTTACCTAAGCTATTGGCCCCGCCTGTGTCAGTCAACTCACCACGCTATTGTTCATGCTCGTACTGATACAGACACTTTACCTAAGCTATTGGCCCCGTCTGTGTCAGTCAACTCACCACGCTATTGTTCATGCTCGTACTGATACAGACACTTTACCTAAGCTATTGGCCCCGTCTGTGTCAGTCAACTCACCACGCTATTGTTCATGCTCGTACTGATACAGACACTTTATGTAAGCTATTGGCCCCGCCTGTGTCAGTCAACTCACCACGCTATTGTTCATGCTCGTACTGATACAGACACTTTACCTAAGCTATTGGCCCCGTCTGTGTCAGTCAACTCACCACGCTATTGTTCATGCTCGTACTGATACAGACACTTTATGTAAGCTATTGGCCCCGCCTGTGTCAGTCAACTCACCACGCTATTGTTCATGCTCGTACTGATACAGACACTTTACCTAAGCTATTGGCCCCGTCTGTGTCAGTCAACTCACCACGCTATTGTTCATGCTCGTACTGATACAGACACTTTACCCTGCTATTGGCCCCGTCTGTTTCAGTCAACTCACCACGCTATTGTTCATGCTCGTACTGATACAGACACTTTACCTAAGCTATTGGCCCCGTCTGTGTCAGTCAACTCACCACGCTATTGTTCATGCTCGTACTGATACAGACACTTTACCTAAGCTATTGGCCCCGTCTGTGTCAGTCAACTCACCACGCTAGTGTTCATGCTCGTACTGATACAGACACTTTATGTAAGCTATTGGCCCCGCCTGTGTCAGTCAACTCACCGCGCTATTGTTCATGCTCGTACTGATACAGACACTTTACCTAAGCTATTGGCCCGCGTCTGTGTCAGTCAACTCACCACGCTAGTGTTCATGCTCGTACTGATACAGACACTTTATGTAAGCTATTGGCCCCGCCTGTGTCAGTCAACTCACCGCGCTATTGTTCATGCTCGTACTGATACAGACACTTTACCTAAGCTTATTGGCCCCGTCTGTGTCAGTCAACTCACCACGCTATTGTTCATGCTCGTACTGATACAGACACTTTACCTAAGCTATTGGCCCCGTCTGTCAACTCACCACGCTTCAGTCAACTCACCACGCTATTGTTCATGCTCGTACTGATACAGACACTTTACCTAAGCTATTGGCCCCGTCTGTGTCAGTCAACTCACCACGCTATTGTTCATGCTCGTACTGATACAGACATTTTACGTAAGCTATTGGCCCCGTCTGTGTCAGTCAACTCACCACGCTATTGTTCATGCTCGTACTGATACAGACACTTTATGTAAGCTATTGGCCCCGTCTGTGTCAGTCAACTCACCACGCTATTGTTCATGCTCGTACTGATACAGACACTTTATGTAAGCTATTGGCCCTGTCTGTGTCAGTCAACTCACCACCATATTGTTCATGTTCTGGAACTTGTACAGCCACTTCATGTAAGCTAGTGACCCTGTCTGTTTCTCCAGTAGCATGTTGATCCCGGCGCCTTGCTGGTTCATCTGCAGCTTGTCCTGGTCGGCCACTCGGTGGAAGCCAGCAAGCATTCCGTAAATGCCGGTATACGTGCCGGAAAACTTCATCCAACCTGGAGTAACAGTTGGTATGTCACAGTTAGGATACATACTTAACTGTATAACATGTCGCAAGTAAACTTGTCCAGCCCCCTAGACATTCCCATTTCAACAATGGGTCCATCGCGACAGATGATAGAATACATCATGGTTATAGATGTTGTCAAAGTGGTCTATTTGAGTGACATCATTATGTGGTCGTATACAAGGTGGAGTCAGTCTAGATCTTCAGTCCGCGACAATGCTATACATAATATTACATAAACATAATGAACGCATAGGCTGCTTACTACAGAATTTCCTGCCACATCAACCAACGGAGCCATGGTTTTAGATCTATCGCTTGATATAGGGCGTATGCAGTCTTTCCAAATAGTTTCCACTAACTACAATTTACCTTCTGAGTCAGCTCCTTTAGGCACATCTTCACCAGCGCTGCCATAGAACAGAAGAAATACATAATGTGAACCGTTGTTTGGCTAACAATAATTTAACTGGTGAAACAGTACGAAATGGCTGCCTTCATCTGTATTAGTCACAAATAAACCAGAAGGTCGCCAAACCTAATTTGAAAAGCATGTATTGTCAAATGAATGTATGACACTAATTGTATGCAACAACTTCATGTGGGGCAAAGTGACGATCTTTTTGGTATTTTGAATGCCCGAGATCTTAACATACGGTAGCTGGAAAAATAATCTGGGTTACCTTTTAAATTTGCGGAAATGTGAGTTATTCCATTTGGTTCTTACCGGACATCTTTGCTTGGTCTGGTTGCAGGCAGATACTCCCCCTCGACCTTGAACTCACGTTTCTTAGAGGCTATACTCTTCACCATACTCACTACAATAGAGGTCAAGGTAGGTTGATAGTAGACGTCATCACTGATATACAGGTGACGATATTTGTAAGACCATCATTATTCGCTCACGACGTCTTAATGTCAGAGAATCGGCAAACGAAAATCACCTTTCCTTATTCTGATGGTGACCTTATCCTTCGTTTGAAGCTGCCACTGACACCACATGCAAGCGAGTTTATTGAGTCTTCCTCAGAACAACATGTCGTCTTTGTTCAGCGCGCAAATTTCCCCTTTTCCAAAATGGCACGAACATATCTAGAATGCCCCTGACCGACTGCAGTTCCGAGATTCAAAAAACCTGTGGCAATTGTGGAAGTCACTTCACTTTTATTTGCACAAACAGTTTTTATCGGCTAAATACTATGTTAACCCTACTCTTCAAAGTTCAACATATTGATGTCTTGTGAAAATGAGCATGTAATTAGAAATGTTGCTGTATTCATATACTATACTATTTCTCATTTTGCGAATATAATTATAACGTAATTGTATTGAAATCATGCTACATGTACATCTATGCAATATGGTTGCTTTAAGTATGGTTTGATGATACATCCTTGTTTGATATTGTGTAATTTATTTATCTATTTTATATGGACCAATATTGTGCTATGGGCCGATGGCCTACATTTGTGCAAATAACTGTGAAATGGAATTGTCTTACAACCTTTATGCGTACAAACAACTCTGTGCTTGAATTATCTTTAATTGAGGACATTCATAAACTAACATCTCTGGCTTGCTGCTGTCATGTTTGCACACACAGCAACAGTGACATGTTCTTAAGGCGTATTAACAGAAACAATTATTTGGTTTATAGATCACTTTCATGCGCAACCAGGTTTGCAATCCATCAGTTTCTAACGACCGAAAATTGTAACAAATTTACACTTAAATGCATTTGTAACAATTTTACCGTAAAGTATTACTGAATACGTATTGAATAGAATATCCTCAATCATTGCACTACATAAACTGAAGGTGAATTTTCAACTTCTACTGGATATTTGCCTGATACTTTAAACAGAGAATCCCTACACGTTTTAAATGTAATATCCATATGGTATGTACTCACCTTGGTAACGAAGCGTCTTGAGCCAGCGACTGTCGTCCGTCTTAATCAGCAGGTCAGACCAGAATCCATAGGCAAGGGCAACACCAGCATATCCTATCAGGGAGCCAGGGTATTCGTGAACACTGATGACATTCATGTAGTGTTTCTTCCCTGAAACGACAAAGATTGAAAGGACAGTAACCGCATGTTTTACTAACATACTCTCTCGAGAGAGAGACATAAAGGCAGCGACGGTTGTTATGGGTGGGCTAACCGTTTCATACAGCTACATGAAGCTATGAGGCAGGACCTCAGTGATTCTCACCTCTGACGGCTACCAGTGCCGCTGTCTCCAAGTCCGTGCATCCGTGACACGCCATAGAGATTCCATTGCCTGTTCCTGGAGGGAATTGAATACCATGTGGTTAGCATTAACAAGGTAGATTCTTGTTAATAAATCTTCAGGTCAGGAAGAGACACGTGTGTATTTATTGCAATATGTTGTCATCTTCTGATACCATCAACCATTTTTTTCAGTATGAGTAATGATCGCAGTTTGTATTCGAAATGTTTGATAACATACATACTGACCTGTAGGTAGAGTGCCAAGTGCGAAAGGTAAAGGTTTCAGTTCTGCATCTGGGTCATCAAGGTCTACCCCCTCGTTATAGCGGGGGATTAACGTATGTAGAACCTCTTGGAACAACCCATCGCCCCCGGACACAATCAACCTAAGGAAAGTAACACAGAGCTGTAGCAAACAAAAGTAGTAGTGAGGAGAGGTGGACACGGTCGAAGCAATGGAGGCAGTATTACCGTGGACAGTAATAAACACAAAAGAGGCCACAGTCGAAGCAAGTGAGTGAACAGATGAAATGGTTCCGAGCACAGAAGCAGTAACAGTGGTTAGAGATGGAGCAGTCCTAGTCACAGAAGCAGGCACAATAGTGGATAGATGGAGCAGTCCTAGTCACAGAAGCAGGTACAATAGTGGAGAGATGGAGCAGTCCTAGTCACAGAAGCAGTAACATTAGTGGAGAGATGGAGCAGTCCTAATCACAGAAGCAGGTACTATGGGGAAAGATGGGACAGTCCTAGTCACAGAAGCAGTAACATTAGCGGAGAGATGGGACAGTCCTAGTCACAGAAGCAGGTACAATAGTGGAGAGATGAAGCAGTCCTAGTCACAGAAGCAGTAACATTAGTGGAGAGATGGGACAGTCCTAGTCACAGAAGCAGTAACATTAGTGGAGAGATGAAGCAGTCCTAGTCACAGAAGCAGTAACATTAGTGGAGAGATGAAGCAGTCCTAGTCACAGAAGCAGTAACATTGGTGGAGAGATGGAACAGTCCTAGTCACAGAAGCAGTAACATTAGTGGATAGATGAAGCAGTTTTAGTCACAGAAGCAGTAACATTAGTGGAGAGATGAAGCAGTCCTAGTCACAGAAGCAGTAACATAAGTGGAGAGATGAAGCAGTCTTAGTCACAGAGGCAGTAACATTAGTGGAGAGATGAAGCAGTCCTAGTCACAGAAGCAGTAACATTAGTGGAGAGATGAAGCAGTCCTAGTCACAGAAGTAGTAACATTAGTGGAGAGATGAAGCAGTCCTAGTCACAGAAGCAGTAACATTAGTGGAGAGATGGAGCAGTCCTAGTCACAGAAGCAGTAACATTGGTGGAGAGATGGAACAGTCCTAGTCACAGAAGCAGTAACATAAGTGGAGAGATGAAGCAGTCTTAGTCACAGAGGCAGTAACATTAGTGGAGAGATGAAGCAGTCCTAGTCACAGAAGCAGTAACATTAGTGGAGAGATGAAGCAGTCTTAGTCACAGAAGCAGTAACATTAGTGGAGAGATGAAGCAGTCCTAGTCACAGAAGCAATAACATTAGTGGAGAGATGGAGCAGTCTTAGTCACAGAAGCAGTAACATTAGTGGAGAGATGAAGCAGTCCTAGTCACAGAAGCAGTAACATTAGTGGAGAGATGAAGCAGTCCTAGTCACAGAAGCAGTAACATTAGTGGAGAGATGAAGCAGTCCTAGTCACAGAAGCAGTAACATTAGTGGAGAGATGGAGCAGTCCTAGTCACAGAAGCAGTAACATTGGTGGAGAGATGGAACAGTCCTAGTCACAGAAGCAGTAACATAAGTGGAGAGATGAAGCAGTCTTAGTCACAGAGGCAGTAACATTAGTGGAGAGATGAAGCAGTCCTAGTCACAGAAGCAGTAACATTAGTGGAGAGATGAAGCAGTCCTAGTCACAGAAGCAGTAACATTAGTGGAGAGATGAAGCAGTCCTAGTCACAGAAGCAGTATCATTAGTGGAGAGATGGAGCAGTCTTAGTCACAGAAGCAGTAACATTAGTGGATAGATGAAGCAGTCCTAGTCACAGAAGCAGTAAGATTAGTGGAGAGATGAAGCAGTCTTAGTCACAGAAGCAGTAACACTAGTGGTAAGATAAAGCAGTCCTAGTCACAGAAGCAGTAACATGAGTAGTGAGATGAAGCAATCCTAGTCACAGAAGCAGTAACATTAGTGGAGAGATGAAGCAGTCCTAGTCACAGAAGCAGTAACATTAGTGGAGAGATGAAACAGTCCTAGTCACAGAAGCAGTAACATTAGTGGAGAGTTGGAGCAGTCCTAGTGACAGAAGCAGTAACATTAGTGGTAAGATGAAGCAGTCCTAGTCACAGAAGCAGTAACATTGGTGGAGAGATGGAACAGTCCTAGTCACAGAAGCAGTAACATTAGTGGATAGATGAAGCAGTCTTAGTCACAGAGGCAGTAACATTAGTGGAGAGATGAAGCAGTCCTAGTCACAGAAGCAGTAACATTAGTGGAGAGATGAAGCAGTTCTAGTCACAGACGCAGTAACATTAGTAGAGAGATGGAGCAGTCCTAGTCACAGAAGCAGTAACATTGGTGGAGAGATGGAACAGTCCTAGTCACATAAGCAGTAACATTAGTGGAGAGATGAAGCAGTCCTAGTCACAGAAGCAGTAACATTAGTGGAGAGATGAAGCAGTCTTAGTCACAGAAGCAGTAACATTAGTGGAGAGATGAAGCAGTCTTAGTCACAGAAGCAGTAACATTAGTGGTAAGATAAAGCAGTCCTAGTCACAGAAGCAGTAACATGAGTAGTGAGATGAAGCAATCCTAGTCACAGAAGCAGTATCATTAGTGGAGAGATGAAGCAGTCCTAGTCACAGAAGCAGTAACATTAGTGGAGAGATGAAGCAGTCCTAGTCACAGGAGCAGTAACATTAGTGGAGAGATGGAGCAGTCCTAGTCACAGAAGCAGTAACATTAGTGGAGAGATGAAGCAGTCTTAGTCACAGAAGCAGTAACATTAGTGGTAAGATGAAGCAGTCCTAGTCACAGAAGCAGTAACATTAGTGGAGAGATGGAGCAGTCCTAGTCACAGAAGCAGTAACATTAGTGGAGAGATGAAGCAGTCTTAGTCACAGAAGCAGTAACATTAGTGGTAAGATGAAGCAGTCCTAGTCACAGAAGCAGTAACATTAGTGGAGAGATGAAGCAGTCCTAGTCACAGAAGCAGTAACATTAGTGGAGAGATGAAGCAGTCCTAGTCACAGAAGCAGTAACATTAGTGGAGAGATGGAGCAGTCCTAGTCACAGAAGCAGTAACATTGGTGGAGAGATGGAACAGTCCTAGTCACAGAAGCAGTAACATAAGTGGAGAGATGAAGCAGTCTTAGTCACAGAGGCAGTAACATTAGTGGAGAGATGAAGCAGTCCTAGTCACAGAAGCAGTAACATTAGTGGAGAGATGAAGCAGTCTTAGTCACAGAAGCAGTAACATTAGTGGAGAGATGAAGCAGTCCTAGTCACAGAAGCAGTATCATTAGTGGAGAGATGGAGCAGTCTTAGTCACAGAAGCAGTAACATTAGTGGAGAGATGAAGCAGTCCTAGTCACAGAAGCAGTAAGATTAGTGGAGAGATGAAGCAGTCTTAGTCACAGAAGCAGTAACACTAGTGGTAAGATAAAGCAGTCCTAGTCACAGAAGCAGTAACATGAGTAGTGAGATGAAGCAATCCTAGTCACAGAAGCAGTAACATTAGTGGAGAGATGAAGCAGTCCTAGTCACAGAAGCAGTAACATTAGTGGAGAGATGAAACAGTCCTAGTCACAGAAGCAGTAACATTAGTGGAGAGTTGGAGCAGTCCTAGTGACAGAAGCAGTAACATTAGTGGTAAGATGAAGCAGTCCTAGTCACAGAAGCAGTAACATTGGTGGAGAGATGGAACAGTCCTAGTCACAGAAGCAGTAACATTAGTGGATAGATGAAGCAGTCTTAGTCACAGAGGCAGTAACATTAGTGGAGAGATGAAGCAGTCCTAGTCACAGAAGCAGTAACATTAGTGGAGAGATGAAGCAGTTCTAGTCACAGACGCAGTAACATTAGTAGAGAGATGGAGCAGTCCTAGTCACAGAAGCAGTAACATTGGTGGAGAGATGGAACAGTCCTAGTCACATAAGCAGTAACATTAGTGGAGAGATGAAGCAGTCCTAGTCACAGAAGCAGTAACATTAGTGGAGAGATGAAGCAGTCTTAGTCACAGAAGCAGTAACATTAGTGGAGAGATGAAGCAGTCTTAGTCACAGAAGCAGTAACATTAGTGGTAAGATAAAGCAGTCCTAGTCACAGAAGCAGTAACATGAGTAGTGAGATGAAGCAATCCTAGTCACAGAAGCAGTATCATTAGTGGAGAGATGAAGCAGTCCTAGTCACAGAAGCAGTAACATTAGTGGAGAGATGAAGCAGTCCTAGTCACAGGAGCAGTAACATTAGTGGAGAGATGGAGCAGTCCTAGTCACAGAAGTAGTAACATTAGTGGAGAGATGAAGCAGTCTTAGTCACAGAAGCAGTAACATTAGTGGAGAGATGAAGCAGTCCTAGTCACAGAAGCAGTAACATTAGTGGAGAGATGAAGCAGTCCTTAGTCACAGAAGCAGTAACATTAGTGGAGAGATGAAGCAGTCTTAGTCACAGAGGCAGTAACATTAGTGGAGAGATGGAGCAGTCTTAGTCACAGAACCAGAGTAATATTTGTGGAGAGATGAAGCAGTCCTAGTCACAGAAGCAGGTACAATAGTGGAGAGATGAAGCAGTCCTAGTCACAGAAGCAGGTACAATGGGGAAAGATGGGGCGATCGTTTTCCACTGAGGCTGTAGCAATATCAAATCTTGAAATTATTGTCCTTAAAATTTTGCGCAAACCACCACGAGGCATCCCCAGAAAAAAACACATTTACAAGCACGTATTGCTATAACACTAACAAGGCTCTACCCACCAGGCTACACCGCACATTATAAACATGGTTTTCCTTTCTGTATTCTAAATCAAAATCGATGTCAAACTTACCCGTCCACGTTGGAGAAGTCATATGTTTTAGCTATTTCTTCTGCATGGCGGAATCGTTCTGTGACTAGAAGGTAGGCGTATGATATAGTACATGTATTTGAGAAGTTGTACATCAACGGAGAACAGAGAAGTTAGATTGAGGAATTTATCTGAATGTGTGCAATGATTTCAGTGTATCAGTATGTACAGGTGACCGACAAAATATGCGATGTGTAGGTAAGTTGTAGTAGGTAATGCACTAAATGTGGCGCACACACACACGCACGCGCGCGCGCGGTATATATATATATATATATATATATATATATATATATATATATATATATATATATATATATATATATATATATATATATATATATCACACATATATATATATATATCCTCATATATACTATGCGTAGATGTGTTTTACAATAATGAAAGTAATACTTACTTATAAGCTTGGCGTCAATTCCCGCCAGTTCAAAAAGTGGTCGAACAATAGCCTCGTACAGCTTTGCTCCTTTCTTCTGTCCCCCGATGGGGTTCACCAGAGTCAGCAGACATTTGGGGCGACCTGGCCGAATAAGACATGTAGCTTTGCAGGATTTAGGAGAGAGCCACATCATCAGCCAACGATTAATAAATATATGATTTCTATAAAGAAAGAACCATTCTTTACGGTTTCCTAGACAGAAACATTTGTTTCTTCAGGTGTCCTGACTCTACCTAACAGGTACGAAAGTATCCGCTAAACTGTCCAGTCATTCCTTCAGCTGTCCCGCCTGTACTCACCATGACCAGTTTTATCTGCTACACTGTCCAGCCATTCCTTCAGCTGTCCCGCCTGTACTCACCATGACCAGTTTTATCAGCTACACTGTCCAGCGATTCCTTCAGCTGTCCCGACTGTACTCACCATGACAAGTTTTATCTGCTACACTGTCCAGCCAGTCCTTCAGCTGTCCCGCCTGTACTCACCATGACCAGTTTTATCCGCTACACTGTCCAGCCATTCCTTCAGTTGTCCCGCCTGTACTCACCATGACCAGTTTTATCCGCTACACTGTCCAGCCAGTCCTTCAGTTGTCCCGACTGTACTCACCATGACAAGTTTTATCTGCTACACTGTCCAGCCATTCCTTCAGTTGTCCCGCCTGTACTCACCATGACCAGTTTTATCCGCTACACTGTCCAGCCATTCCTTCAGTTGTCCCGCATGTACTCACCATGACCAGTTTTATCAGCTACACTGTCCAGCCATTCCTTCAGCTGTCCCGCCTGTACTCACCATGACCAGTTTTATCCGCTACACTGTCCAGCCAGTCCTTCAGCTGTCCCGCCTGTACTCACCATGACCAGTTTTATCCGCTACACTGTCCAGCGATTCCTTCAGTTGTCCCGCCTGTACTCACCATGACCAGTTTTATCTGCTACACTGTCCAGCCATTCCTTCAGCTGTCCCGACTGTACTCACCATGACCAGTTTTATCAGCTACACTGTCCAGCCATTCCTTCAGCTGTCCCGCCTGTACTCACCATGACCAGTTTTATCTGCTACACTGTCCAGCCATTCCTTCAGCTGTCCCGACTGTACTCACCATGACCAGTTTTATCCGCTACACTGTCCAGCCAGTCCTTCAGCTGTCCCGCCTGTACTCACCATGACCAGTTTTATCCGCTACACTGTCCAGCGATTCCTTCAGTTGTCCCGCCTGTACTCACCATGACCAGTTTTATCTGCTACACTGTCCAGCCATTCCTTCAGCTGTCCCGACTGTACTCACCATGACCAGTTTTACCTGCTACACTGTCCAGCCATTCCTTCAGCTGTCCCGCCTGTACTCACCACGACCAGTTTTATCTGCTACACTGTCCAGCCATTCCTTCAGCTGTCCCGCCTCTCCGATAAACGTAACGTGTTTGTGTCTGAGGATGTTGATCTTCTGATGTTCTATGTAATGTAGGGTAAATCTGTCCTCCTCCGGCGCCACTCCCACCCTCGCCTTCACGCCCGGCCCCCGGGAGAGCCCACCCAAGTAGGCAGTGATGACGTCATCCCAGTCGACATGACAGTCTAAAATACAACCAATTTCACTGTTGCATCTCCTAATTTCAGATGATGATTTGAGTCCAGACATTTATGAACACAAATTTTATCTTGCCAACAGCAATACAAAGTCTCATAATTATTATCACCGTGTATAATACGTCTATAGGGTTGTCTGTATTTATGAGCACGGCATAAGTGGAGCATTAAGTGACACCCTGACTCGACTGTAGAAAAGCTACAGTTTGATAACATGAATAAAAAATTAAAGATTGCCTGACCTGTAGTTTGACCTTGACCTTTCCAGGTGAGACCAGAGTCGATCAGCTCCAGCCTTACAGTTCTCCCCGACAGTGTAAATTCTCCCGCCAACCGTACACCCAGAGGTATCTCTTTGATGTCAGTAACGACAGTAGCGTTGTTGGTTTCTGTGACACCAGACGCCATGTTGGGCTGATCACTGTACATGTCAGTGAAATAATTTCTGGTATTTGACGGTTTCCTTCCGCCTTAATTCTGTTCTGTATCCCGACCTGCCGACACAGTGAGCGGTATAGTCCACAGGCGTTGTTGAATACCCTCGCAGCTGTAGAACAGGAGCAGCTGTAGAACAGGGTGAGGGTATATATTCCAGGAGGCTGGGCTACTGTGCGGCCGTGCCAGTCAGGAGCGGACTAGTGATATCATATTTTCATACCATTTGTTGTGATCCTTGTCATGTACACACGCCGAGACGAAAATACTTTATACCAGCCCGCAGTGCCCTCCCTGGCCGGCGATCGTCACTGACCTAGATAGGGGTACAGCCAGATAAGAGGAGAGAGTTTATATGCGGGTGTATACCTGCCGACCTGTGACTCACTCATACATGTGTGTTCAACGTTCCATGTACGAATACAAGTACATGTACATGCAATTGTGGTTACTGCAAATATTTTCAAACATAACCTTTTCGCGCGAATGTGATACATGTGCGTGTTCTGTAGATGCTGTTTGGACTAATTGTTCTGTGTGTCACAAGACAATACACAGTTGGTCCTGTCCAAATCGCCAGGACTCTATAGCCTTTGTACAGTTGTCAAAACGCATGCCCACAGGGTAACTAGCTCAGAGTTAAGACGAGGAATGTTTTCTTTTAAACATATTTTATTCATTCAAGAAGAGGATTGGGCACAAGTTATCCAATTTAGAAAAGCCCTCTCCGGATAATTACACAATTCATTTTACAACAAAGTACACAAGTGACAGACATAGGCTAGGATATGTACAACAGATGTTAACTGAGAAAGCGTTTTGTTTGAGAGATATAGATATGTACATATTTGAAAACATTCTGGTTTTCAGTGATTGAGAGACCTGCATTGCCATGTAAGATAAGATTAATATCAATCAGTGTTCTATTTTTGACAATTTGTTCTAAAGATTTTAACAGTTTATGTATCTGAATAGTATACAATGGACATTCAAGAAAGTAATGAAAAACATTCTCATATCTATGGCCACATTGACATGATGCGTCATTTTTTACATTTATTCTCTATAAGTCATAATTAAGTGTACTCGACGAGGAATATGTCAAGTCCAAACTTCTTTTGGTTGGTTCTACAATATACACATTACAATACCTAACCGAGAATTCAGTCAAGGGGAGGTTCCAACTCTGCTCTGATGAAGCAAGTCCAGCAAGCAAGTGTATCATACTCACAGCTGTAAATACAGGTACAGTTAACATGTAGACAAATATATTGTCAAGGACAACACTGGGCAGATAGAGACAAATGACGTTTGCTTATATAGATCTTATTGAGGTGATGACAAAACCGCCGGGGGGTAACCGATTAAGGTTATAAATGTCATATGTAATTGTCTGTGAAACATCCGGGGAGATAATAACACCCAGCTCTAAATAGAAATTGCCTTATACGGGGAACGTCCAAAAGTCATTCAGCCTAGCTCAATGAGCATCACCGGAACAATAGAAATTGAACGGTTAAATGAATTAACCCATTTTGACTTGTCGGCGACATGCGTCCCAAGGAGGAACACCCTTCTCTCATGCACCCCGAGGCGGGCTAGGTCTGCTGAAATGCCAGACGGCGAAGGCGACCTTTATAAGCACCTAATATCATCATCATCGTCATTATCGTCATCATCATCGGCTGTGACACAGTTGATGGCTGTCTGACATGTACTACACCATGTGATAACCAAAAAGATATGAAACTCAACAATGTACAAGAGTGAAGTAGTCCAAAAGCTACAATCTTAAAAGATGAATACATTATCAAATTAGAGTCACTGTGACACAGTGAACACAACTGTAAGTGTATTGGGGCGATCTCCATCTCTATGCAACATGTATATACTGGTTACAGTTAATGGGCACCTGTCTCGTTGCCACTTCAGGGGCGTGATTGGCAAGGTCGGAGTCTTGTTTCGCGATCAAAGTCTTTAAAACTGAGCCATGAGCATTAAAATTATAATGCTAACATTTACTTATCATTTCATATCTTCCATTTCAAGAGGCCATATTATGCAAATAATTATGTTTTGTTCTTGGACGAGGTTATTGAGGTATTACGGGGAAGTCCTGCTGTAAATCAACTAAGCGAGTTGTTAACTTACGTGAAATGCGTATCATACACTATTTAAAACAAAATGCAGCACGAACATACACAGAGTGTCATCCATGGATCTGATCAAGTGAATAATCTCCGCGTTATAACGGGGCGAACATGCGTGATACAATTCCTGGATTCCAAGCTGGTTTTAGAAAGAAAGGTTCCTCCTTAAATGATATATTTACACTTAATGCACTTATCCCGAAGACTCACGATGAAAGCCATTCTCTTCCCACAGAGGTTACTCCTGTCATATCTTCCTACGTAACCTCTGTTCTAATACGGCCATATTTCCCGGTGCTCGTAAAATCCCCCTAGCGGCAAAATATCGCAACACGAATTATCTCCCTTCTTTCTATCCAATCAGAACACATGTTACATCGACTTAGATTCAACTTTACCATACCTGTCAACTCTCACGCATTTGGCGTGAGTCTCACGCTTTATTGACAAATGTCACGCTCTCACGCCTCCAAATAATAATCTCACGCATATCTGGTGCCAAAAATAATTTCAAAATTAATACGCATTTTCGTTCGTTTTTGCGTAAAGTTGAACATTGAAAGAACGCCTGAATGAACGAAGTACTAAAACGATGTTTATGCGAATGATTCGGCTTATTATTATTTATTAGCATGCATCTTTTAGTGTCAAAAAAATTGCCACCATAAGGCTCCAAATGCTCCTGAAAATCACTAAACTTCGCCCCCCAGATACCCCCCACCAGGGCGTCGCCCTCGACATGTACCCGGCTGGACCCCGGCTTATTTTTTTCAGTCTTACTCCAAACCATCTTTAGGGGTTGACAGCTCTGCTTTACTAACACAAGCAAATGTGGGGCCACAAATATCCCCCCATCTGCCGGGGACTTGTGTTGATGTTACACACAAGACGTTTAATGGCTAGCTTGTCCGTTGTCAACGAGGGCGATGGAGACGCCACTGATCCGCCGTAACATGACTGAGTTCTGTCTAGAAGAAACGTTTGCGCATCGTGCAGGGGAAGAAGTTTAGTTTTCTCGAAGCATACGGAAATTACCGAGGCCTTGCGAATGATCACTTTTGAAACAACGTCGCTGATTGCACAACTAAATCTGATTGCCTCCAATCACGAGTCTTGAACGCTCACACCATGAAAGGGCCGTATTAGAACAGAGGTTACGTAGGAAGATATGACAGGAGTAACCTCTGTGGGAAGAGAATGGATGAAAGCATACATTGTAGGTAGCACTTTTAGATTTCAGTGCATGGTTCTAAGATAATGGAAATGTCTATTTAAGTAGCCGGATTACGAGGGACACTGTTCACTTTTCTCACTTGTTTCATTAGATATACTATTAAAAAAAGAAAACTATAACCAAGAGACTTGTTGCGAAAATGTTATATTTTCAAACATTTATAACTCGTCCACAAATAGACTTTAGGAAATGAATTTTTGCATCCATTTATATCTATGACTCTCTTAAGGTAGCCAAATGCCTCGTCATCTAATTAGTGACGCACATGAATGGATTAACGAGATTCACACTGTCCATATCTGTAATCAAGTGGATAATTTTAGATAACGGAGACGTTGAACGCGATGGTGACGACGTAGCACGGTCCCGACGTCGGGTCTCCAGGCTCTCAGTCCAATCTCTCTCAACCTGTTCCGTACAGTTTGACCGGATATCCTGCGAAGTCCAGGCACCCTGGCTGCTGTGCTTTCACCCGTGGCAGTACGATCACGCAAATGTAGTACCCGGATGTACCGATCTTGGGCTGCAGTGGAGACTCGAGGTCTGCCTGTACGGGGAGGGTAATTTGTTATACCTGTTTGGTTGTAACGAGCTGTAAGCCGTGATATCGTGCTCAGACTAACATTCACACGGCTGGCAACAGAAGATTGGTAATCTCCAGCGTGCATTCTTTCAGTGGCGATGTTCCGTGTCGCAGCGTCAAGACGTGGCGTAGTGATTTAACCTTGAAACTCCTTCAAAACGAATGCCGATTTCCGAAAATACTCGTGTGCTCTTTGCTGCACAATTTCAACTGGAAGGTGATTTCTGTTGCGTTGTGGTGATGCCTTTTTAATCCTTGTAAAGAATCTCATCAAAGTTAACATTTTCAGGTAAAGTCGAGTTTTTACTTGTGCAATTGGTTAAAATCATGTTATCAACAGAATTGTTACATATTTTGACGATTGTTTGAACACAATAGGTAATTGATAGATTTAAAAAAATACAAAACGCCTATATGCGTTTCATTTTTTGGATAGTATATTTAAATAGCTTCAAATGGTAAACCTGGTATCCAAATGGTTCCATATTTAGTACATGTTTCGATGTTACCTTTTGAAGACGATATAATTATAATGTCAGACACTACAAAGACAGGTAAATATGTTCTTGAACTCTTTGTTTCGCAGATACAACCAGTCATATTGGCTCTCGATTATTGGGGTTTTAACGTTTACTGTTTGGAGACGGTTCACTCATTTAGCATGTGAATATGTCCCGCATGTTGGATTCGCTACTACAATTAGTACGGCTTATAGTGAATCTGGTTGATACCCATTGAGTATCATTTCGCAGATTACATGTCACACTTCTGGTGAACATTGTCGCCCTTAAAAGTTAACATGCTTTTACATTCAGGTAGCATGGTTAGGAACACATGGTAATACATCCAGGGGTGACTACCTTTAGTATGTCTGTATGGCGTGGCTGATTCAGGTGTGACACTCTACCTTCTGTCTATCTGTATGACATTGCTCATTCAGGGGTGACTCTCTACCTTCTGTCTATCTGTATGACATGGCTGATCTAGGGGTGACTCTCTATCTTCAGGCTAGCTGTATGACACGGCTGATCTAGGAGTGACTTTCTATATTCAGTCTAACTGTATGACATAATTGATCTCCTACCTTCAATCCATCTGTATGATGTGGCTGATTATGCCAATTCACGAAATACTTGGCTACCAGATAAACCTGAGACATTTTCCTGTTATATTATTCAAAATCTCTGAGAATTGGTTATGCACCTTTAATAACAAGTTTTGATTTTGACGATTTCATCAGGCACGTCTGAGGTGTTGGATGCGTGTATCTTTACCAAAACGGTTCTTGTAAAAGAAATGTTTCGTGCAAACTCCTTAATATGTAAAAAAGTAAGGAACTATGAATGTAAATATCAGGTTTCGTCACAAAGACGTTTGATCACAGGTGATAAAAGGCTCTAGTTATATGGTTAACTCTACGTGTCTCCAAACAGAAAAAACAATTACAGTGAATGTTGAATGGAACCCACGTGATTGGGATTACTTCATCTAAATTGCAATCATGATTGTATTAATTATCAACTGTTAATTTCCCTACGTAATCAGTCTACATATTGATAAGCTAGAGTACATCACACATCGCAGAGGTATATACAAACATGTATCTGTCTATACGAAATGACAAATGACAGTAAAGTATTATTTTCTTCATCGGTTAATTTCTATAATTCCCTTGCTACATATTGATAAGCTAGAGTACGTTACACATGTACAGATGTATACCAAAATGTATGTGTCTATACGCAATGACAACTAACATAGAAGTTAAATTAAGACTATAGGTGGAATACTACTGAGTGCGGCATAAAACGAAACTCACTCACTCCTAATGTAAAACAAATAAATTTGAAGAAACGCCCGCAACCCTTAATGTTAAAATTTCTTTTTATATTTTATATTTCTTTTTTACATTTTAAACTATACGTAATAGAATTTACACTTCCTTCAACTTTTTGCGTTTTCTCAGAAGCTGCAGACAGTTACAGGTGTTATGTAAGTCGTCATTACTAACATACCACAGAGCCTAGCGGTAGGGTGTTTATGGAAAATATAACAGTCAAGCGATTTTGCTTCAGAATTCTGAAAACATGTAAAATCGCAAACCTTATGTCATCGCAAGGTGTTTGTCTCAGTGACAATTCTGGCATTGTTTGTATTTTGGTTGTTGTTTTGTAATTAAAAAAACAAAACAAAACAAAACCCACAAAAACATCTGGTTTTGCAGCCAAAGTTCTGGCTAACGCAGTTACGAAACGTGAGGGAGCAACTGTACAGCAGCGATGTCACTATGAAAACACTCGTTTGGTGATAAAGCTCAGACACATTCCTTGTGGCAATGTCGTTCCTGAAACCAAATAGAGAAACAAATCGGTGTCAAGAGAAAGAAATGGGTATCAAGTCCTGTAACAAAAAACTTGATTAATAAAGTTGCAAATCCCAACGTTTTTCTACAATGTTTTGCTCACATGCTCGGATTTTGTGTTCATAGTTGCACAAGAATATATGAGCCACTGACTGTAATACAATCAACTGTCTGATCCGTCACACAACGTTACAATCAACTGTCCAATACGACCCACAAGGTTACAACCAACTGTCTGATCCGTCACACAAGGTTACAATCAACTGTCTGATCCGTCACACAACGTTACAATCTACTGTCCAATACGACCCACAAGGTTACAATCAACTGTCTGATCCGTCACACAACGTTACAATCAACTGTCCAATACGACCCACAAGGTTACAATCAATTGTCTGATCCGTCACACCTTACAATCAACTGTCTGATCCGTCACACAACGTTACAATCAAATGTCCAATACGACCCACAAGGTTACAATCAACTGTCTGATCCGTAACACAACGTTACAATCAACTGTCTGATCCGTCACACAACGTTACAATCAACTGGCTGATCCGTCACACAACGTTACAATCAACTGGCTGATCCGTCACACAACGTTACAATCAACTGTCCAATACGACCCACAAGGTTACAATCAACTGTCTGATCCGTCACACAACGTTACAATCAACTGTCTGATCCGTCACACAAGGTTACAATCAACTGTCTGATCCGTCACACAACGTTACAATCAAGTGTCTGATCCGTCACACAACGTTACAATCAACTGTCCAATACGACCCACAAGGTTACAATCAACTGTCTGATCCGTAACACAACGTTACAATCAATTGTCTGATCCGTCACACAACGTTACAATAAACTGTCCAATACGACCCACAAGGATACAATCAACTGTCTGATCCGTCACACAACGTTACAATCAACTGGCTGATCCGTCACACAACGTTACAATCAACTGTCTGATCCGTCACACAAGGTAACAATCAATTGTCTGATCCGTCACACAAGGTTACAATCAACTGTCTGATCCGTCACACAAGGTAACAATCAAGTGTCTGATCCGTCACACAACACGTGTCACTAATGCTGAAAGGGTCGTTGTCGGCCCGGGTACTACAATAATGTATACTAGGTACGTTTCTGTACGCAGTTATGTATACAGTTATAGTTATAAATGTGTACAAACTGTACACAGTGTGATCCGTCACACAAGGGTTGCACGCGTCACTGAGTGATACGGTCTATTGTCTGATATCCGTCACGCTAGGTGATGAATGCTACTGACTCGGTGATACAATCAACTGCCTGATCCGTCTCACCTGGTTACACGTGTCACTGACTCGGTAATACGTCTGATATCCATCAGTCTAGGTTATGCGAACCTCGGTAATACGGTTAACTATTCACACCCATCATGCTAGCATACACTAACCCCCGACTAGGTGACACGGTCAACTGTTTGATGTCTATCACACTGTGGAGTCATTGTTCGGTGCTTTAGGTCACAAAGACTATACAATACTTACGTAAGTCCGGTATTCAGCACAAAGATGGTTCCAAAGCAGCACGCTTTGCACAAAAGAATTCTGTGACATTTCTCCGATTCCTGGAAAGAAAAGCACTATTGTGCTGTACAGACGCCTGCGATGAAGCAGTTCCTGAACGATAAATGATATCAGCTCAACAAGAGGGATTAAGTTTGAAGATACATGGCTACAGTTCAGATATTAAATGTGTGGAAGCTGGTGTGCCCCAAGGTTCCGTTTTAGGACCTCTTCTGTTCATTATCTGTATTAATGATATTGTTGATGGTATAGATAGCAACATCCGCCTTTTTACGGACGATACATCGACATATTTTATAACAAATGATCATATTACAAATTAATTATAATAATGATTTGTCAAAAATTTCAGACTGGGCTAAATAGTGGCAAGTTTGTTTTAATCGTAGCAAGACTGAGAGTATAACAATCACTCGAAAAACGCCAAAACTATGTCATACTGAATTTATTAATGAATAGTGAAACTATTAAAGAAGTTGAAAACCATAAACACTCAGGTATTACACTTCAAAGCGAATGTTCTTGGGAAGTGCATATTAGTGACATGAAAATGAAAATTAGTCCAATGATCAATTGTCTGAGAAGTTTAAAATACCGTTCCGACACGTATCGGAAACATCAAGATGTTTTGGTTGACACATGTCATCGAATCCAAATTGCGCAGATCGATGCTCATGCTGTCGATCATTCGATTGTCTGGTCCAGGCTCGATTATTTACCGATCGCTGGAATATTGCTGAATGCGGCGTAAAACAAAAGTCAATCACTCACTCGTTAAACATTACCTTGTCACCATGGAAGCTGCACATTTATGTTACATTTTTGACAGGCCTTTCTTTTCAACATGGAGTACAGTAATACCTGACAACCATGGATGAGGTTTCCATGGGTCGAACCTCTCCATCCAGAAAGACCAGCTGCTGGTCCTTCCTCCTCTCCTCCTCCCTGGAACTGCGAGAGTCCCCATGTCCGTTAGTGGCAGTGTCGGACTCTCTCAGACTAAACCTGAACTCCTTCACGTAATGCTCCTCGATATTGTCAGCGTTGCACTGCAGCACATCCTGGAAACACAAGACCCGTCACGACAACACGGTCATAAACACAGAACAGTAGACACGTTAATACCTTTAATATCTCTATACATCTTGTCTTGTTGAAGTACATAGAAATATGGGGCGATTCCGACATCCAGCATCAGGCAGCTTACCAGATCGCCTTCCCTATTAGAGATTCCCAGCATCCACTTCAGGTAGGATAACTTGCTCGATTGTTTCTCCAGAAACATGTTCATACCAGCGCCACTCTGACCCCAATGTAAGACCCCAGGCTTGCCCTCTACCCTGTAGAATCCACCAGGAAAGCTGTTGATCCCCGTGAAGGTGCCAGAGAACTTGACCCAGCCTACAAAACACCCAAGACAAACCGACAAATGAATTCACACTGGCCACATGATTAACTAGTTAGTCTTCACAACAACTATTTGGAACTATCCGCCATCCTTGTGAGTGAACGTCATCGAATGATGGATGCACGAGGAATTATCTTTGCATCTGAGGATTCCTTCAGGAATCGCTCCTCTGGGAACGCTTAATTTTGACACTGGCTTCAAGGCAAAGTTGAAAGAATGCTTTCACGACCCTCTGCACTCCAAGCTGGGCAGTGAACGTTTCATGTGTATCCATGTGTATATTAATTGCATCGTGTATAGCCGATGCTTGCTCACTAAATTCTCTGCCTTGTGTGTTTCCTTCATAAGTTCATACCTCCATAATAAAGTGGTTATATATATGTTATACAGTAGAGACGCGTTGAAGTCATTGACGTACTTGAACCAGTTATGCTCACTGAGATGGAAACTGATAATGTGACCTATTTAACACCTTTCTACGGTATATTCACCTTCTGTATCTGTGTTCCTCGCCATGTCTTCCGCCGCGCTGGTAGAACACAGTAGACAGGTTAGTTATTGATCCGTATTTCAGTTACACTGATAACATTTAAAAAACCCTTTCAGTTTCATCATATAATACGGATAAAATTTTATGTTAAAAAATGTGAAATAGTTTATTCACCCCTCCCTCCCTACCTCACTCCAAACCCCGACCTCCAGGCCCCGTGCCTACCACCTACCGGAGGTGTTTGTCTGGTCTAGCAGTGGGCAAATATTCCCCCTCAACAATGAACTCCCGCTTCCCCGTAAACAGACCTCGAAACGCACCCACTGAAACACAGAACAAACTGAAGAAATAACGGTGAATAACGCATGTTATTGTTTCGTGGGTCGAGATGGTTGATTTATGAATGATTCAGTCGGTTTATTTAGTTGCTTCTTTTTGTTCAAGGTTACTATAGGGACAGAAGAAACTCCCGGAGCCACGGGTGTTATTGCCCTCTATGTATGAATTGACGATGCTCACCCAGGTAACGGTAAGTCTTGAGCCACCGGTGTTCATCTGCGTGCTGGAACAGATCAGCCCAGAATCCATACCCCGTGGCAAACCCTGCATATCCAACCAATGGGCCGGCCGATCCGTGGACGCTTACAATATTCAAATACTGTTTCTCGCCTGAAAATTCCAAGAGAAGACCGTAGCTTGTTGCTTATATTTAGGAAAGATAGTTGCTTATTAGACTGAGCCAGACAGTAGCTGCCTCACCTCTCACAACCGCTAACGTAGCTGTCTCCAGGTCCGTACATCCATGACACGCCATGGAGATTCCGTTACCCGAGCCTGAAGAATTGTAGCATATAATGGCATCAATGTTTGTCCAGTTTTCCGTTGTTGAAATATTGTATATATCATATGAAATACATGTCCCACTTCGTACTTACTATCACAAAACATGTCGTGCTTTGGAACCCATTGAGCTGATACCTTCTTCATTGCCAAAGTCTCTGTGATAACGGAATGTATATCCATTCTTTTCTTGTGAGTCTCAGAGTTCATCATTCAACCCTCGTACACCAATTACAGTGTAGCCATGTTACGTATCACTTAAGAGGTGATAATCCCAGCTGTCGTCATTCTCCTACCTGTGGGCAGAGCGCCCAGTGTGATGGGTAAGGGTTTTAGTTCCACGTCAGGATCATTGAAGTCGACATTGAATCGGGTGATCAACCCCTGGATAACCTCCTGCATCAGGCCATCCCCTCCGGACACGATCAACCTGTGCGAGAAGTGGTCAAACCATCTCTGATGCTCTACACCGTGAAACACAATGTTAGGGACGTGTTAGACGCCTGATAGTGCAGACGTCAATATTGATATGGGTTTGAGGTGAAATCCTTGTACCTTTTCGGGCTTAGCTCAAAAATGCGTTTAGAAAAGTAAGTAGGGCATTTGTTTCGTGCGTGCGTGTGCGTGCGTGCGCGCGCGCGTGTGTGTGAATACTCTTATTTTGTTTCTTCTAATTGTTCTACAATACCTCCACTGAGGCGCCACAATTCATTGTTCTAGAGCTACATTTCTTGGGTACACCAAGTATATATGATGGTGGGTTCGAGTGCAGGTTTGTCTTGCTTATGTTCTTGCATGGATCGTCAGAAGCATGTCTGTAGTTCTCCCCACAGTGATAAACAACTCGCACCACTTCGAGCTTCACTCCCAAGTCAAACTGACACGCTGTGATGTAACGGAAACAGTGTTGAAAGCAGCTTTAAACTTCACTCACCCCTACAGTATCATAGTTTGTGTTGCCAGGTTACATCTAGTCTGTCATACAGACCCTCAAACAAATATACCCAATGTAGCCCATGTAAGTCTAGAATGTGTGGCAAGGCTAGATTTCCACAGTTTAAAAACAAAATCTGAAAAATATGTTAATTTCAGAGACTAGCTGTTAGTCTAGGCTACATCGCACTGCTACTTTCAGTTACCCGTCCACATCAGTGACGTCATACGTCTTAGCGATTTCCTCTGCGTGACGAAATCTCTGTGTGACTGGAAAGCAAACAATATTACATATTTAATATCTTGTTCATATTTGTAACCGGTTGTTCGCAAATAATTGTTAAAAGGTTCTCAAAAGAGCCATAGTAAATACTTAAATTTCTTTCTACTTTACAAATACAGCTGAGTCGGGTATTCCTTGTGTATTCTCCTTGGACCAGTTGACCTGACTTTCACAAAGTACACTTACTTATAAGCTTGGCGTCAATTCCCGCCAGTTCAAAGAGTGGTCGAACAATAGCCTCGTACAGCTTTGCTCCTTTCTTCTGTCCCCCGATGGGGTTCACCAGAGTCAGCAGACATTTGGGACGACCTGACCGAATAAGACATGTAGCTTTGCAGGATTTAGAAAAAACCCACATCATCAGCCAACGATTAATAAAAACATGATTTCTATAAAGAAAGAACCATTCTTTACGGTTTCCTAAACTGAAACATTTGTTTCTTCAGGTGTCCTGACTCTACCTAACAGGTACGAAAGTATCCGCTAAACTGTCCAGTCAGTCCTTTAGTTGTTCCGCCTGTACTCACCATGACCAGTTTTATCTGCTACACTGTCCAGCCATTCCTGCAGATGTCCCGCCTGTACTCACCATGACCAGTTTTATCTGCTACACTGTCCAGCCAGTCCTTCAGTTGTCCCGCCTGTACTCACCATGACCAGTTTTATCTGCTACACTGTCCAGCCATTCCTGCAGATGTCCCGCCTGTACTCACCATGACCAGTTTTATCTGCTACACTGTCCAGCCAGTCCTTCAGTTGTCCCGCCTGTACTCACCATGACCAGTTTTATCTGCTACACTGTCCAGCCAGTCCTTCAGCTGTCCCGCCTGTACTCACCATGACCAGTTTTATCTGCTACACTGTCCAGTCATTCCTTTAGTTCTTCCGCCTGTACTCACCATGACCAGTTTTATCTGCTACACTGTCCAGTCATTCCTTTAGTTGTTCCGCCTGTACTCACCATGACCAAATTTATCCGCTACACTGTCCAGCCATTCCTTCAGCTGTCCCGCCTGTACTCACCATGACCAGTTTTATCTGCTACACTGTCTAGTCATTCCTTTAGTTCTTCCGCCTGTACTCACCATGACCAGTTTTATCTGCTACACTGTCCAGTCATTCCATTCCTGTACTCAGTTGACCAGTTTTACTCTACACCGTCCAGTCAGTTTTATAGTTGTTCCAGCTACTCACCATGTCCAGCTACATGTCCAGCCATTCCTTCAGCTGTCCCGCCTGTACTCACCATGACCAGTTTTATCACCTACACTGTCCAGCCATTCCTGTCCAGCCATTGTCCCGCCTGTACTCACCATGACCAGTTTTATCTGCTACACTGTCCAGTCATTCCTTTAGTTGTTCCGCCTGTACTCACCATGACCAGTTTTATCTGCTACACTGTCCAGCCATTCCTTCAGTTGTCCCGCCTGTACTCACCATGACCAGTTTTATCTGCTACACTGTCCAGCCATTCCTTCAGTTGTCCCGCCTGTACTCACCATGACCAGTTTTATCCGCTACACTGTCCAGCCATTCCTTCAGTTCTCCCGCCTGTACTCACCATGACCAGTTTTATCAGCTACACTGTCCAGCCATTCCTTCAGTTGTCCCGCCTGTACTCACCATGACCAGTTTTATCTGCTACACTGTCCAGCCATTCCTTTAGTTGTCCCGCCTGTACTCACCATGACCAGTTTTATCTGCTACACTGTCCAGCCAGTCCTTTAGTTCTTCCGCCTGTACTCACCATGACCAGTTTTATCTGCTACACTGTCCAGCCAGTCCTTCAGCTGTCCCGCCTGTACTCACCATGACCAGTTTTATCACTTACACTGTCCAGCCATTCCTTCAGCTGTCCCGCCTGTACTCACCATGACCAGTTGTATCTGCTACACTGTCCAGCCATTCCTTCAGTTGTCCCGCCTGTACTCACCATGACCAGTTTTATCTGCTACACTGTCCAGCCAGTCCTTCAGTTGTCCCGCCTGTACTCACCATGACCAGTTTTATCTGCTACACTGTCCAGCCAGTCCTTCAGTTGTCCCGCCTGTACTCACCATGACCAGTTTTATCTGCTACACTGTCCAGCCAGTCCTTCAGCTGTCCCGCCTGGACTCACCATGACCAGTTTTACCTGCTACACTGTCCAGCCATTGCCGCCTGTACTCACCATGACCAGTTTTACCTGCTACACTGTCCAGCCATTCCTTCAGTTGTCCCGCCTGGACTCACCATGACCAGTTTTATCTGCTACACTGTCCAGCCATTCCTTCAGCTGTCCCGCCTGTCCGATGAACGTAACGTGTTTGTGTCTGAGGATGTTGATCTTCTGATGTTCTATGTAATGTAGGGTAAATCTGTCCTCCTCCGGCGCCACTCCCACTCTCGCCTTCACGCCCGGCCCCCGGGAGACCCCGCCCTGGTAGGCAGTGATGACGTCATCCCAGTCTACATGACAGTATAAAACAAGTATTTAATGTGATAAAATGGATTCTGTGCAACCACAGTAGTTAAGTCTTAAATTATTTGTATCAGATTTTTACTTGAAACTGTTTACTTGTCTATGTGACTGTCTAGTCCTGTGTTGCTGTGCCCCAGTTGGGTACATTACATTCTCCCAACATTCTCCACTGTCATGAATAACAAAATTTACTCATGAAGCTCCAGAGAGTACAAAATGCCTCAGCTCGCTGCAAGGAAACATCCAATATAGCACCAATATTGATGAATCTCCTTTGGCTCCCAGTACAAGCTAGAATCGAGTTCAAAGTTCTATCCTTGACATACAGATGTTACCATGACGTTGCACCAGCATATCTGAAAGAACTTCTCCAGAAATATACTTCAAGCAACCATCTGAGATCCAATATCAACTTCTACTAACCATCCCTCAGATCAATCTCAAATCCTTCGGCCAGAGATCATTCTCATTCTGTGCTCCTTCTCTCTGGAATACTCTTACTTTTGATATCAAAATCTCCATATCTTTAGCTGTCTTCAAGTCCAAACTTAAAACCATCTCTTCTCTTAGTACTACCCTTGAGACATCTGCGCGTTGAGCAATCGTAACAGATGGAAAATAGCGGGTAACAAATGCACATAATGATAATATCATTTATTACAGTAACCTACTGGGCCTTGTTGCAAGGATTAAAGCTTCCAACATGCAGCTTGGTATGACGCTCTTCACAACATTGGACGAATGGACGGTTTAGGATACTTGCCACCTTGCCATCTCCTCGGCCGCTATGACCCTCTGGCCAACTGAAGACGGCATCAGAAAATCACTGAAGGAACGTGCAGTTATGCATACGCTATGTATGTTGGTTACGAATTACTTGGGTGTACATTGTCGTTATAAGTATTTTCTATCATACATTTTTAATATCCATTAACAGACAACAGGATCATAAGCTTAAGAAGTTAATTTATTAAAAAATATATGAGCGTATGTTTGTTGAATGTTCAGTGTTTCATCGAGCTTAAGGTATGAGGTGTTTTCCGAATTGAATCGCAGAGGTTCACCCAGAGGTTGGTCATTAAATGACTACCCAAACTCAATGAATCATAAGTTAATCATATTTACACTTACAGTTTCAGGTTTGCCTTAAAGACAAAACTGGCAATACAATGGGTCCGTCGCAGCAGCAATAAGTTACAGACCCTTGGGTTAAGGTAAGTGCACATACGAATGTTCAGAATATTGCCACAGTTGCTTGTCTAGATAGAGACTCGTCCCTGTGTTTGAAAATAACGTTGGCCGCTGTCAAGATATATTCTCTAAAAAGCTGTCTGGCAGTGATCGTGTCAAAGAAATTCTGCTTTCAGGAAACATTTGGGCAAATGTTCTAAAGTAACAAGCCATACTTAGAACTAAGCTTGTCGGAACTAAAACGTTTGTAATATCTTCAACGTTTGCATTGATAATTGTCTGTCATACAGATCCTGAAACAAATATATTTAAGAAAGCCCATGCAAGTCTAGAATACGTGGTAAGTCTAGTCTGAAAATGAAGAAAGTCTCCGGGCTCCATTTCTATGTATTTTACGATTATTTTTATGAACAGGTTTATTTTCTGCAAAATATGTTCATTTCAGAAACTAGATCTTAGTCTACATTGATAAGACAGAGCCAGTTTTCGAGAAAGAGTCCTCTCGTTCCATATAAGTACAACAGAGGCAGGTGCTGTCAGGTGTGGGTACTCACTGTCACTTGGTGGTATGGTACCTGGTAGGATATATCCCCTGGTATTCTGTTTAAACAGGCAGGTGTTCAGTTTCTAATATAACACACGGTGGGTGTAGTCTCTCACTTCTGGAAAGGTTTCATTCAGAAATCATGATAGCATGTGGATGAGTATCTCGATTGCGAGAGATATCAGCTGAAACAATCTGCAAACTGAACACACAGACGCACGCGCACACACACACACACACACACACACACACACACACACACACACACACACACACACACACACACACACACACACACAAACAAACAAACATCGTTATGGTAAATGGTACATTCCAAAAGATGTATTGATTTGAAATATACTACCTTTCAAAAGTTTAGACTCACTTTAAACACTCACTATATGTTATGGATATATACTGAGTCAAAAATGAAACTTCACAAAATGTAATTTGAAAAATAATGAATAATTTTTCTCTGATGATACATCTATGTATCCGAAATGGGATCCCTATCTTTCGACTCCAGAAAAACGTTAGCAAAACCCCCTCAAACCTCAAGTATTGAAAAAAACACTTTTAAACCACAGTTCTAACGGTACTTGAAATGCCACGATTGTCAAATGTGCAACGTGAACGTGCCGTTGGCATGATGCAAGCGGGAAGATCAGTTATTGACGTCGCAAGAGCAATGGGATGCAGCCGTCGTACTGTGTATGACTTGCGAGGTCGTCTACAACAAACTGGCACCACTTCTGATCGCCCAAGGTCGGGTCGTCCACGTGTGACGTCACGAGCAGAAGACCGTCAAATCGTCCTACGTCACCTACGTGACAGATTTCTGCTGGCTACACGAACCAGGGCTGAGATGTTTAGAGGTCGACTGTCCTCACAGACCATTCGAAATCGGTTGCGGGCTGCCAATCTCCATTCTCGACGTCCATATCGTGGGCCAATATTGACGCCGTTTCATCAACGTCAACGTCTGCTGTGGGCCCAACGTCACCTCCGATGGTCCCAGAGAGACTGGAATCGAGTCGTCTTTAGCGATGAATCCAGGTTTACCCTCAGATTCGCGGACGGCAGGCATAGAGTCTGGAGACGACGTCGTGAACGGTATGCCCAATGTTGTGTACAGGAAGTCGACAGATTCGGGGGCGGAAGTTGCATGGTGTAGGGTGCTTTCTGTGGGAACAACCGTTCCCGACTTCTGGTCATCCGTGGAAACCTCACAGCTGCTGCTTACCGCGACCAGGTGCTCACCCCTGAACTCGTTTCTTTCATGGCGGCTTATGGCCCAGGTCTACAGTTCCAGCATGATAATTCTCGGCCGCATACCGCGATGTTGACACGAAATTTCCTTCAAAACGCTGGAATCAACGTCATGGACTGGCCATCGAGGTCCCCTGACCTTAATCCAATAGAGCACGTTTGGGATGCACTTGGGAGAAGGCTTCGTGGTCTTAGGAACCAACCTCAGAATTTGCAGGAACTTGGCGCTGCCTTGCAAGAGCAATGGCGCAGAATCCCCAACCACGTGCTCACAAGCATCAGGCAGTCGATGAGGAGACGGTGTTTGGCAGTGGTGAATGCGCGGGGCGGCCATAGGAGACGGTGTTTGGCAGTGGTGAATGCGCGGGGCGGCCATACACGATATTGAACTGAGAAATTTCGCATTTTTATTCTTGTGACTTGACATTCTGTATACCCCTGTTTTGGAACGGCGGTGTAGCCTAATGGAACTGATTATGGCACTGTCAGTGTATCGAGTACATCACACAGATCTCAGCAATGACATAATAACAATTTAACCATCTTACCATCTCTTGTTCTTTTATAGTGCCCTGAAGAAAGAATGTGAAGTTTCTTTTTTTTGACTCAGTATATATGTGGTTACATCGAAGATTGATTTCTCCACTAACTTTGAGGAACCAACTGCAAAGCTTATGCAGATGAATTGCACGAGGATCATGTATCAAATTGCTGAAAAGCATGTGCAAATATCGTGCATGTGAAGTTTTGTCACAAATTCGCCAATTTTAACTGATTTTTATCATTTATTGAATTCATGACACTAATCTTTTCAACGTTACGAATCTGTTTTACAATACATCAGTTCATGTGTAAACAGTACCTTTAAACAGTATGGAATATTTTGCAAAATCTGGTTTAGAACAGTTGCCTGAAGTAAGTTGCTATATTTACACTAGTGAGTCTACACTTTTTGAATGGAAGTATATAACCACAGTTTATTGAGTTTTGAACTGGGTAACTTGTTGCCATATTGTAATCTTCACTGGAAAAAATATATCATCAGAGTTTTAACAACCTGGAGATTCTTTTCTCTAGTCTAACCAAGTATTAAAAGTCTTGGCAATGAAAATAAGTTCACAAACCCATATTTCCACGACAGACACAATATTCTCGAGGACGATTGCATCCTCGTATGACGAACTCGATAACGGGCGCTTAAGACCTGCGGTGTATCACAGCACTGCTTTCCTAATACATGAAGATGAAGCGTTATGCCTTGGACTTAAACACACCCCTAACACTGGAAGCACTTAATGTTGTCTTGTCGAGGTGTCCACAGCTCAGAAAGCATTTATTTACCTGAAATAAATCTTCTAATCTGATTACTGGATAATGTTGTATTTGATCAGATGTTTCTCATATCGTAGAGTACCATGTTATTTCTCGATTGTTTTCATGAATGGCTTACAAATATACAAATCAGACAACTATACCTGTTATCCTAGAAGACCGCGGTATCCATTGATCTGTCTAATTACCAAGTTCATACTCGATCTGCTAAAACAACGCTGACATGAAGTTCGACCCTTGATCAAATAGAGCCACTTTCGGTAAACCAATCATTGTGGAAAACGTAATACCTGGGTTGTCAGTTTTCCTCAATTACATGCCATCCAAAAAACTGGTTGAAAACGCACATGAGTGTCAACCATGTTAACCAGTCTCTGTTCCAGGCAAGGGCCCACAACAGCCTATAACAGCCTCAATGTAGGACTCTTCCAAAGCTGGTATGGGTTTCAAAGGGGCAAAGAATTTGAAACACATAATGCCTGAAATTACCAGCAAGACATGACATCATATTTGGTTGAAATCATCTGGAAGATCTTGTTAGCCATTAAGATCATCTGGACATATACCTGGAATTGCTTCTTGGGTCGATTCAGTGCTCTCTTACACATGGATCAGCCAAAACCCTTGGCCGTTCTAAATACTTTTCAACAAGCATATCAACACGTTGAACTGGGATATTGGCTAGTTGTGAAAATGCAAGTACAATAATGTACTGATCTCACATTTTCAGTCACATTTAAGAAACTCTGTTTTACAATATTTATTCCCTCAAAAAGATTTTTCACACTCCATATGACAGGTGCTGATTTCACAGTAATCCTGTGTAAATCATGGTATTGGTAGACGATCACAAGCAAATAGTCAGCACATATATATCATATCCCAGAGGAGCCCTCAGCATCTGTGTTCGATTATTTCCAAATTGAAGAGCCAAGTTTTGCCAAGGAATCAGTTTGCACATATTTATATTGTGACATCTGTTTATGAGCACACCAGATCAACGAAGTATCATTAAATACTCATACACTCACTGGTCCAGTTGGTGGCTTACAACAGGACAGATTCCGTGTTTGAATCTAGAATAGTCTTGGTGGCTGGGTAGAATTTGGTATTTCCAGATACATGTACACATAGATCTCACAAGCGCACTTGGCATCTGAATCAATCTTGTTATAATTATATACTCTCCCAAAAAGGAAACGCATATAGGAATTTCAAATGTATTTTTATGTCTATTTTGAAACATCTTGTAGGCTTTATGAGTCAATGAAATATAGCGAAATTGCACACTGGGAATGCAGACTTATCCGTCTTTGGCACCAACTCGAGGAAAGTCAGTTTGAGTGTCACATGGAGAGGTGTGGTGGCGCTGAAGTCAATGCCTCGTGTAACCACCGTGGGCATCCAGAACTGCACGGCATCGCCTCGGCATCGAACGAATAAGTATCAGAATCTCGTGTTGCCCAGTCGCAGCCCACTCTGCCTATAGTGCCTGTGCGAGTTGCTGATGTGTCTGGGGCTGAGGGTTACGGCGTCGCACCCGTCTGCCCAGGGCATCCCACAGATGTTCGATCGGGTTTAAGTCCGGTGATCTTGAGGGCCAGGGGAGCACATTGATGTTGTGGTTCTGGAGGAAGTCTCTAGTGTGACGTGCTGTGTGGGGCCTGGCATTGTCCCGTTGAAACAACTCCCTCTGGCGATCAATGATTGGAAGGAGGTGTGGGCGTAGGATTTCGTCACAGTACCGTTGAGCTGTCAGGTTGCCCTGGATCATCACCAAATCACTTCTCCTACTGCAGGTGATCGCTCCTCACATCATAACACTTTCCCGGCCGAATCTGTCCACCTGGGGAACGCAAGCGTCGGCGAAACGTTCACGTCGACGTCTGTACACCCGCATTCTTCCATCGCGTCGTTCCAATAGAAATCGTGATTCATCACTGAACCAGATTCTACGCCAATTCGGTAGGTTCCAGGCCTGAACGTTGGTGCACCATTGAACTCGATGTCGACGATGTTGTTGTCGAAGCACAGGGCCAAAATAAGGTCTTCTGGCACGTAAACCAGCCTCTCTCAACCTGTTCCTGACGGTCTGTGCAGAAAGCCTCCTCAATCCGGGTATTTGTCGAGCGGTACTGGTCGCCGTAGCTGTTCGATGACGCAGGTGATGTACCCGGATGTAGCGATCCTGTGCCGCAGTGGTCGCTCGAGGTCGCCCACTACGAGGGGCATCTGCTACCGCATTCGGCCGGCGATATCTCTCCCAGAGCCGTGAAATGGTGCTTGGTGAACATTCATGCGTCGGGCAACTGCACGTTGAGACTGACCAGCTTCAAGCAAACCAAAGCCGGTTGGCTTCACTTAGACGTGGCATTTTGCGTTCGTCAACAATATTCCAAATACAGTGAATAATCGACAGACAGCGATCAACCTTTTATACCCATCATTGAGACTTTCACGTGCATTGCATGTGAATTGTGTATTCTGTGACACTACACGCCGAAATTGAAAATCATGCTGTTAAATACGGGTATTTTACGGATGGTGCGTTTTGTTGTGATGTTTCAAAACATAAACACCATAGGACTCATAAACAGAGCAAAACCTTTTGTAAAATGAATCACGTTTTAATCCATTGCTACATGAAATTGCTATTTTCATGATGCGTTTCTTTTTTGGGAGAGTATATGTAACACCAGTCTTCCAAAACCTGTTCCACCCAGAAGCTTCTCTCGAATGATCAAGTCTGCCATAATTATGTATACAAACAAGGGCAGATAACGCTATAATAAGTTTAGTACTAAACCATTCTTTATACGAAGTTGTCGACTGCCAGTCAGCTAAGTGTTTTCCTCCCACTAATAATTACTACACATCCAGGTTAGAGTTTTCCTTTTAAGCTGCCCGTAATAACTGGTGTAACATTTCTGACATTTGGTGCAGAAAATACCGTCATTGAAATCAGTTCTTACAAGTAAATATGTCAACTATTTGATGATTACTAGAGTGAGTGAGTGAGTTTACTTTTACGCCGCACTCAGCAATGTTCCAGCTTTATGGCGGAGGTCTGTAAATAATCGAGTCTGGACCAGACAATCCAGTGATCTACAGCATGAGTATCGATCTGCGCAATTGGGAACCGATGACATGTGTCAACCAAGCCAGCGGGCCTGACCACCCGATCCCGTTAGTCGCCTGTTACGACAAGCATGGGTTACTGAAGATTCATTCTAACCCGGACCTTCACGGGTCGATGATTAATAGAAGCACATTTGACAATTTTGACAATTACAATCAATGACCAATGCAAAACAAGCTGCGCTTGTTCTAGATCAGGAAACATTAGTGTCCTACTGGGAATGGCCTATTTGTCCGTTTTATAGAAAACATGACCGCGAAATAAATTGTTTGGACAACCAATGGAATTCCGCTTGGCTGTGTCTGGTTCAGGTTTGAAGATGTGGCAGAAGCTAATATAAACATTGCTAACCATTGCATAACCCATATTACAGTCACCCTGGGCTGATACCTCGGAATATAACTCCTGCAATACACAAACCTGAAGTTTGATCCTGACCGTTCCAGGTGAGGCCTGAGTTTGTGGTCTGAAGTCTGACAGCTCTCCCAGACACAGTAAAGTCTCCACACAGAGGCACCCCTCGCGGATTCTCCTTGTCCTGCGACTCTGGGTCCCTGTGACCTGTGGACGCCATGGTCCCTGCGACACAGACAATGACTACAACTCATGATGTTATCACACCACAGATTTTACATTATACAGATGATCTACATATTTACCTGGGTGAAAAGTGAGTATATTTGCCTTAGTAAGAAAATACCGTTGATGCGTTAGGGAACAGTACTGGTAGTTCTAAGAAAAGAAAGTGAAAGTACCCACTACTATGAAACATACGTACAGATAAGGCCAGTGTTCATTACTGTGTTGGCTAGTACATTGTATAAACAGTGAAGCCTGTGCGAGATTTGGGCTTTTTTACCTATAGTGATTAGCAAACTGTTGACCCTCAGCCAGTACCAGGGACCCATTCACAAGTTTAATAAATTGTATTGTAGATGTATGTAAATGTCGGTTGTGTGTCACATGCTAACATGCTAGAACAATAACGGGCTGGTATTGGAATGTCGCCACATACCAACATGCTAGAACAATAGTGGGCTGGTATTGGAATGTCACAACATGCTAACATTCTAGAAACATAACGGGCTGGTATTGGAATGTTGCCACATGCTAACATGCTAGAACAATAGCGGGCTGGTATTGGAATGTCGCCACATACTAACATGCTAGAACAATAGTGGGCTGGTATTGGAATGTCGCCACATGCTAACATGCTAGAACAATAGCGGGCTGGTATTGGAATGTCGCCACATGCTAACATGCTAGAACAATAGCGGGCTGCTATTGGAATGTCGCCACATACTAACATGCTAGAACAATAGTGGGCTGGTATTGGAATGTCGCCACATGCTAACATTCTAGAAACATAGCGGGCTGGTATTGGAATGTTGCCACATGCTAACATGCTAGAACAATAGCGGGCTGGTATTGGAATGTCGCCACATACCAACATGCTAGAACAATAGCGGGCTGGTATTGGAATGTCGCCACATACTAACATGCTAGAACAATAGCGGGCTGGTATTGGAATGTCGCCACATACTAACATGCTAGAACAATAGCGGGCTGGTATTGGAATGTCGCCACATACTAACATGCTAGAACAATAGTGGGCTGGTATTGGAATGTCGCCGAATGCTAACATGCTAGAACAATGGTGGGCTGGTATTGAATGTCACCACATGCTAACATTCTAGAAACATAGCAGGCTGGTATTGAATGTTGCCACATGCAAACATGCTAGAACAAAAGCGGGCTGTTATTGAATGTCACCACATGCTAACATGCTAGAACAATAGCGGGCTGTTATTGAATGTCGCCACGCCAACATGCTAGAACAATAGCGGGCTGGTATACGAATGTCGCCGAATGCGAACATGCTAGAACAATAGTGGGCTGGTATTGAATGTCGCCACATGCTAACATGCTAGGACAATAGCGTATTGGTATTGAATGTCACCACACGCTAACATGCTAGAACAATAGTGGGCTGGTATTGAATGTCGCCACATGCTAACATGCTAGAACAATAGTGGGCTGGTATTGGAATGTCGCCACATACTAACATGCTAGAACAATAGCATTGGTATTGGAATGTCGCCACATACCAACATGCTAGAACAATAGCGGGCTGGTATTGAATGTCGCCACATACTAACATGCTAGAACAATAGCGGGCTGGTATTGAATGTCGCCACATACCAACATGCTAGAACAATAGGTGTATTGGTATTGAATGTCACCACATACCAACATGCTAGAACAATAGCGGGCTGGTATTGAATGTCACCACATACCAAACATGCTAGAACAAAAGTGGGCTGGTATTGGAATGTCACCACATGCTAACATGCTAGAACAATAGCGGGCTGGTATTGAATGTCGCCACATGCTAACATGCTAGAACAATAGCGGGCTGGTATTGGAATGTCGCCACATACCAACATGTTAGAACAATAGTGGGCTGGTATTGGAATGTCGCCACACGCTAACATGCTAGGACAATAGCGGGCTGGTATTGAACTCGCCACATACCAACATGCTAGAACAATAGTGGGCTGGTATTGGAATGTCGCCACATGCTAACATGCCAGAACAATAGTGTATTGGTATTGGAATGTCGCCACATGCCAACATGCTAGAACAATAGCGGGCTGGTATTGGAATGTCGCCACATGCTAACATGCCAGAACAATAGAGGGCTGGTATTGAATGTTGCCACATGCTAACATGCTAGAGAACAATAGCGGGCTGATATTTGAATGTCGCAACATACCAACATGCTAGAACAAAAGCAAGGGCTGGTATTGGAATGTCACCACATGCTAACATGCTAGAACAATAGCGGGCTGGTATTGAACACCACATACTAACATGCTATAACAATAGTGGGCTGGTATTGGAATGTCGCCACATACTAACATGCTAGAACAATAGTGGGCTGGTATTGGAATGTTGCCACACGCTAACATGCTAGAACAATAGTGGGCTGGTATTGAATGTTGCCACATACCAACATGCTAGAACAATAGCGGGCTGGTATTGGAATGTCGCCACATACCAACATGCTAGAACAATAGTGGGCTGGTATTGAATGTCGCCACATGCCAACATGCTAGAACAATAGCGGCCTGGTATTGAATGTCGCCACATGCTAACATGCTAGAACAATAGCCGGCTGGTATTGGAATGTCGCCACATACTAACATGCTAGAACAATAGAAGGATGGTATTGGAATGTCGCCACATGCTAACATGCTAGAACAATAGCGGGCTGGTATTGGAATGTCGCCACATACTAACATGCTAGAACAATAGTGGGCTGGTATTGGAATGTCGTCACATGCTAACATGCTAGAACAATAGTGGGCTGGTATTGGAATGTCGCCACATGCTAACATGCTAGAACAATAGCGGGCTGGTATTGGAATGTCGCCACATACTAACATGCTAGAACAATAGCGGGCTGGTATTGGAATGTCGCCACATACTAACATGCTAGAACAATAGCGGGCTGGTATTGGAATGTCGCCACATGCTAACATGCTAGAACAATAGCGGGCTGGTATTGGAATGTCGCCACATGCTAACATGCTAGAACAATAGTGGGCTGCTATTGGAATGTCGCCGCATACTAACATGCTAGAACAATGGTGGGCTGGTATTGAATGTCACCACATGCTAACATTCTAGAAACATAGCGGGCTGGTATTGAATGTTGCCACATGCAAACATGTTAGAACAAAAGCCGGCTGGTATTGAATCGTCGCCACATGCTAACATGCTAGAACAATAGCGGGCTGGTATTGGAATGTCACCACATGCTAACATGCTAGAACAATAGCGGGCTGGTATACCGAATGTCGCCACATGCTAACATGCTAGAACAATAGCGGGCTGGTATTGGAATGTTGCCACATGCTAACATGCTAGAACAATAGTGGGCTGGTATTGGAATGTCGCCACATACTAACATGCTAGAACAATAGCGGGCTGGTATTGGAATGTCGCCACATACCAACATGCTAGAACAATAGCGGGCTGGTATTGGAATGTCGCCACATACGCCAACATGCTAGAACAATAGTGGGCTGGTATTGAAATGTCGCCACATACCAACATGCTAGAACAATATCGGGCTGGTATTGGAATGTCGCCACATGCTAACATGCTAGAACAATAGCGGGCTGGTATTGGAATGTTGCCACATGCTAACATGCTAGAACAATAGCGGGCTGGTATTGGAATGTCGCCACATGCTAACATGCTAGAACAATAGTGGGCTGGTATTGGAATGTCGCCACATACTAACATGCTAGAACAATAGCGGGCTGGTATTGGAATGTCGCCACATGCTAACATGCTAGAACAATAGCGGGCTGGTATTGGAATGTCGCCACATACTAACATGCTAGAACAATAGCGGGCTGGTATTGGAATGTCGCCACATACTAACATGCTAGAACAATAGCGGGCTGGTATTGAATGTCACATACTAACATGCTAGAACAATAGCGGGCTGATATTGGAATGTCGCCACATACTAACATGCTAGAACAATAGCGTGGCTGGTATTGAATGTCACCACATACTAACATGCTAGAACAATAGCGGGCTGGTATTGAATGTCGCCACATACCAACATGCTAGAACAATAGCGGGCTGGTATTGAATGTCACCACATACTAACATGCTATAACAATAGCGGGCTGGTATTGGAATGTCGCCACATACTAACATGCTAGAACAATAGTGGGCTGGTATTGGAATGTTGCCACATGCTAACATGCTAGAACAATAGTGGGCTGGTATTGGAATGTCGCCACATACTAACATGCTAGAACAATAGCGGGCTGGTATTGGAATGTCGCCACATACTAACATGCTAGAACAATAGTGGGCTGGTATTGGAATGTCGCCACATACTAACATGCTAGAACAATAGCGGGCTGGTATTGGAATGTCGCCACATACTAACATGCTAGAACAATAGCGGGCTGGTATTGGAATGTCGCCACATGCTAACATGCTAGAACAATAGCGGGCTGGTATTTGAATGTCGCCACATACTAACATGCTAGAACAATAGCGGGCTGGTATTGGAATGTCGCCACATACTAACATGCTAGAACAATAGCGGGCTGGTATTGGAATGTCGCCACATACTAACATGCTAGAACAATAGTGGGCTGGTATTGGAATGTTGCCACATGCTAACATGCTAGAACAATAGCGGGCTGGTATTGAACGTCGCCACTTCATTAACATGCTAGAACAATAGCGGGCTGGTATTGAATGTCGCCACATACCAACATGCTATAAACAATAGTGGGCTGGTATTGAATGTCACCACATGCTAACATCCTAGAAACATAGCGGGCTGGTAATGGAATGCCGCACACGCTAACATGCTAGAACAATAGCTTGGCTGGTATTGGAATGTCGCCACATACCACCATGCTAGAACAATAGCGGGCTGGTATTGAATGTTGCCACATACCACCATGCTAGAACAATAGCGGGCTGGTATTGGAATCGTCGCCACATACTAACATGCTAGAACAATAGCGGGCTGGTATTGGAATGTTACCACATGCTAACATGCTAGAACAATAGTGGGCTGATATTTGGAATGTCGCCAAAACGCTAACATGGTAGAACAATAGCAGGGCTGGTATTGGAATGTCACCACATGCTAACATGCTAGAACAATAGCGGGCTGTTATTGAATG